ATCTGTGGAAGAAGTGCAGCCAGAGTGCTCCTTGGACACCAAGATGGCCAAACTTCATCTCTCATACTTTGGACATATTGTCAGGAGGGACCAGTCGCTGCAGAAGGATATCATGTTTGGTAAGGTGGAGGGTCAGAGAAAAAGAGGAAGACCCCCAACAAAATGGATTGGCCAAGTGGCAGCATTGATGGACTTAAGCATGGCAATAGTAGTGAGGTTAGCCCAGAATCAGGCAGTGTTTCGTTCTGCTGTGCAAAGGTCACTATGGGTCGGTACCAACTCGATGGCACCTAACAACAACAACAACAACCTGAGGGGCTCATCTTCTGGTGCTATATCTGAAAACATTATGGTGGTCTTCATCATGTTTCCATATTGAATATTCTGGTGCTACCTGACAGTGTTCCACAGCTATTCATGAGGTTTTCAGTGACTAAATGTTCAGATGTAGTCCATCTCTCATTCTTCTTAGTCTGTCTTCTTCTAGAAGCGGAAATTGTCAGACAATCTCTTTGATATCCCATGCGAGTAAAGTTTTGCTAAAGGTAATACAGAAATGGCTGCAAGCATATATTGACAGAGAACTTCCAGAGGTTCAAGCTGGCCCACCATGGGAGATCCTGCCGGTATTTAAAATACCAACGGCATAGTTACCAGAATCACAGCAACATGCAAGCTACCTCAGTACAACAAACTGACAGATGAGCAGTGGACGATATTTATAGGGGGTCATTTAAAATTATGTATCAAAATATGTAGGCAAATCTATGTAGACAAACCTTAGATTCGAGGTTGTCTAGGAAGACCCACAGTAAGGTAAACTGGTAGTGGCAGAACAGTGGGCTCAAACATAACAATTGTGAGTTCGGCGCAGGACTGGGCAGTGTTTTGTTCTGTTGTGTACACGGTCACTGTGAGTCAGAACCAATTCCATGGCACCTAACAATAATAACAGAGCTTGGAGGAGTCCCCAGGTGGTAATGCGTGTAGCTGCTAATCAACAGGTTGGAGGTTCAAGTCGACCCACAGGCACCTTGAAAGAAAGGTCTGGTGATCCACTTGTGAAAAATTGGCTGTTGAAAACCCTGTGGAACACAGTTCTACTCTGACATGCACGGGTTTTCATGTGTCAGAATGAACTAACTACAACTGGTTGAGAGCTTGCGGGGAGGCAGAGAAGGAATGGGAAGTGAATACCAGTGGGCATCGGCTTTCTTTTGAGATTGGTGAAAATGTTCTGGAATTAGCTTGAAGCGATCGTTGCAAAACTGTGACTATACAAAAACACAGTAATTGACTCGGACTCTTTAAATGGAGGGACTGCATGGGAGTTATTTCAATAAGACTATTAGTTGGAGTTCTAGTGTGGCGCTATAGGATAAACACGGGACTTCTAACCACAAAGTCAGTGGTTCAAACCCTCCAGGCTGCTCACCCAGGGTCACTATGAGTCAGAACTGACTCGATGACACTTAACAATAGTTAAATGCACAGGTTTATGAAAAGCTTGTTTGTTTCAGCAGCACTTATGATAGGAACAAAGTTTTTAAACAATACATTCAGCAGTGGGGTAGACTTACAGATCATCCTTACAGTTGAAGTCTTTATGGTTAAGCAGCCCAGAAGAGGACTGGGTTACAATGCACTTCCAGGTGAGACCTGTTTGGTCCCACAATGAGTATAGGTTACCTGGCCCTCTCTCGCACATAAACAGGCAGGTTTAGCTATCACAGCTGACCTCTCTGGGAGTCCAGGCTTCCACCTCCGGGTTATGACCTAAGCCAATCAGCGCATTGTACCTACCCTCTGGCCACAAGGATTGGTTCATGGTGAGCACGTGACCTAAGTGGACCCTATCAGAGTACATCTCAGGATTTCTGTGGAGAATGCTAAATAAAACATTCTCCACTCTGTCCTCAGACTTCAATCTGCAGCTCTTGGAGCAGCGAAAAGGAGAGCCCTCCAAACTCAAGCAACACCAAGGGCACTACGATAAACTGAGGAAACTGAGGCCCGATCGCGAGCATGGACCAGGTTTTGTCTGAAGCTGCCCTGGACTGTGTCATTCACGAGAGCCTATAACTGCTTTTATAACAACCAAAGCGATACATACGCAAGATGGGCGTTTGGCCTTCAGACATCTCACGTCAAAGCTAGACAAAGACAAAGATGCCTTGTCATCCCAGAAGCCATCTGCCCTGTCCCTGAGGCTTTGTTCACACACACAAGCACACACAGAGATGCGCACAAAACTGGGTAGACTTTTATTTTAAAGTCAAAGGCACAGCCTGGATGGGCTGAGGCTAGTGACCATGAATGCCCAGTCCAGATCCCCAAGGCTCAGCATCCCCAGCCAGGGGCAGCTGTGCCAAAGGGAAGGGTTGGGTGAGAAGGGGGCCTCCCTTTTAGGGGGTCACCTGCCTCCTTCCTTAGCCCTAACAGGGGAGAGGCAGTTGATCCCAAGTGAAGTGTAAGTGCTTCCGGGCCCCCCAGGACCTCTCTCTCAATCCCCCAACACAGGTCTTTGGTGGACGGAATTGCACACAGTCCATAAAGTGACAGATTGAGGGGAACCCACCCCCCAGGCGCAGGACCTCAGGGGCGAGGGGAGAGGGGTCCCAGTTTCTCCCTGTGGCAGCTCTGTAGAAATGAGGGTGGCACCCTGCCTTGATAAAGCACCTCCCCTCGCTGGTAGGCGCTTGGGAGAGGGCTCCCCACGCCCCACTCCTCAACAGGACCCCTCCCTCCCTGCATCTCTAACTTTACCTGGTAAGACATAAAAAATTCTCTGCTTATAAAAATACTTCTGCTCTGTCTTTTGGGGAGTAAGGGGTTAGGGGAATAGGGTAAACGCTGGGGGTCAGGGCAGAACCGTTGGCCTACACCTGGAGGGCAGTGAGCCGGGCTCCCTGGTCACAGACCCTGTAGGGGAAGGGGGTCACAGTGGAGACGGCTAGGAGGGGGGCAGGGGGCCGTTGGCGCGGCGGGGTGGCCCCTTGCTGGCAGGGGCCCGTCCAGAGGCGGCAGGCGCCGGGGAGCCGCGGCGGGAGGCAGCCGCGCTCCTCAGCTTTTGCTTGCGCCGCTTGGCCAGGGGCGCGTTCTCCACGCTTTTCAGGAAGAAACCCTCACGCTTGCCACGGTTGAACGCCTGGCGGAGGGAAAGGGGTGAGTCTCCTGTCCTGCACGCCTTCCAGAGCCCAGTTTTGGCCTCAGCCCTCGGGACCCCTCCAACAGGTCACTGATATCCAGCCTTCCCAACCCACCAGAAGCCACTTCACCTTTCCCGGCTCTGAGGACCCCGCCTCCCTGGCTCTGTCCCCTCCCCACCACCATCCCACCCACGCTCCGCCCCTCACCATGAAGGTGGCGTTCAGGCCCGAACGCACGGCTGGCCCAGAGGACTCCAGCACGTCTGGTGTCCGGAGTGGGGGTGAGGAGCGCGCGCTACCATCCTGCAGCCACGAGCTGGCCCGCAGCCCCTCGAGCTTCAACCGCTTGGCAGGGTCCACAGTTAGAAGTCCTGGAGGCAGGCCGGGAAATTAGGGAGGAGCCTGTGTGAAGGGGGAGCCCCAACAATCCCACACACTCCTCCCCTTCCCATCCCCCAACCAGGACACGTGACTGAGACCACTCCCGGCCCAGCAGAGACCATTAGACAGCCCACGCCCTCCAGCTCCGCACCTCGGACCAGCTCCTTGGCTTCTTCAGAAACTCCCTGCCAGGCCTCCCCATCCAGGGAGAAGCGGCCCTCACGGATCTTGCACATGATTTCAGCCGCCTGGCTCTGCCCGCCCTGGCCGGAGGCCCCCTGGAAGGGGACCTGCCCCGACAGCATCATATACTAGAGGGGAAGTGAGAAGGAGTGAGACCACCAGGCTGCCCAGATGAGAGAACCAGAGCTGACCCCTCGGTCCACCCTTCCCCACTAGAGTAATTCCTGGCATGATGCTGTAGGATATACGCAGGACCAAAAGGTCTGTTTGAATCACAAGATCGGTGGTTCAAACTCACCAGCCGCTCCTCGGAAACCCTACACTGGGTCACGCTAGAGTCGAAACCGACTGACAACTATTATAAGCATGACTCTCTGGCCTCTAAGCCCCTGACATACGGGGCCCCAGATCCAGCACCAAAGCAACTCCTGACCATCAAGCCCTGCTACCCCCACAAGATGTCCCCTGTCCCCTGCCTCGAACTGCGCTACACTAGGAAGACACTTGACCCAGTCTCTGGAGATCCAGCACCTCTGTCGGGGCCTGGCCCCATACCAGAATGACACCGAGGCTCCAGAGGTCGCAGGACTCATCATAACCCTGCTGCGCCAGCAGCTCGGGGGCAGCATACTGCAGCGTGAAGCAGGGCGTCTGCATGGGCCTGGTAGGACTCTGCGGCCGAAGCCGCGCGAAGCCGAAGTCAATGATCTTTACCGGCGCCCCCTGCGTCTCATCGGCGTACAGGATGTTCTGGGCGGGAGACCAGCAGAGTCAGTGACCAGATTCCCTCGATCGCAGCCCGGCCCTCCATTTACCCAGGCCCACCTCCGGCTTGAGATCACGGTGCACCACGCCCGCCTCCTCGTGCATGAAGCTCACGGCGGACACGAGGCTGCGCAGGATCTGACTCGCCTCAGACTCGCTGAAATGTCGCTTCTTCCGGATATGCTCAAGCAGCTCCCCGCCCCGTAGCAGCTCCAGGACCAGGTATGTGTGCAACTGCCGTAGACACAGCCAACCATGGTCAGGACCCACCCACCCGCCAGGACCTGCCCCTTGACCAACTTAAAGCCCAGCTTCAGGCCCCATTCTCGTAAGCCACACACTACTCGCCTGACCGCATACCTCAAACCTCAGGTCCCTGGCCTAGACTTCAGCCAGGTTTGAACCCCGACCCTAAGATCACGCCCAAAGACCACCGCTAGGCCCCGCCCCTTTCGTTACCTCCAAGTCCCACCCCTATCAAATCCTATCTCATACCCTCAAATCCCATTTTTTTGCCTGTTCTCAGCTCTGCCTTCCAACCCTTTTACCCTACTCCCGTCAATCCCCGTCTCAGCTTCTGTGGCCCCAGGCCCCACCTCTCCTACCCCCACCCAAGCTCCACCTCTTTGGTCCCCAGTTCTGCGCATGCCCGGGTCACGTGCTACCTGGTCCTGATGCACCTCGTGCAGCTTCACCACATTGGGGTGCGACTGGCACAGTCGCAGAGCGGTCACTTCGCGCTGTGTGTTGGCCTCCAACCTAGGGTGCACGTCAGACAGGGTCACGGTGACTGAACCCTTGGCCTAACCCTCCCTGACGTCTCCCAAGCCATACCCGCCCACCTGCGGCTGAGGATCTTGACGGCGAACTCCTGGCCGCTCTGGCGTTGGCGGCAGCAACGACACACAGAGAAGCTGCCCTGGCCCAAAGCGGGCTCCCGTAAGTCCAGCTCGTACTGCTGGAAGAAGGGCGAGTCCTGGAGGCAAAGGGTGCACGTTAGGAGACCCACCTCTGAGAGGCTGGGGACCTCAGTGAGGCCACACCACAGATACCTTGTGGAGCCAGGCCTGGAGTCTCAGGCCCAGACCCCACCCTGGTCCAGCCCACCTGCATCATGGCGCTCCTGGCCACGGCTGCCCGGCCTGGCCGGTCTCCAGCACCAGGTGCCTCTAGCACATCAGTCATCACGGCGTTGTTGTGGTCAAACAAGATGGACGGCGCCACAAAGGAGTATCCCTGTGGGGAAGAGAAATGGGCCAGGGTGGGTGGACAGCAGGGGTCTGGTCACACAGGCCTTGTGGACACGTTTTATTCCACCTCATTTGGTAAGAACTCGGATCCATATCTGTTCCCACCAGACTGTCCTCCTACCTTTCTCATCACAGTGCCCCACTGGTGCCAAGGGCAGCACCTGGCACAGCATGGAAGCCCAGAAAGTGATAGGCTAGATGCATGCAAGTACCAAGGCCTGGCATCGCAACACTTAGCTTATTAGACTCCAACTCTGCCCAGTTAGACAAAACTGTATGCCTTCCTTGCCTTCTAGACTTTGGCCTCCTATCAAGAAGCTGCAAAGAGAAGCCAGAGCTCTCCTTCCAGATCCATGTCCTGGCAACTTCAGAGACTTCCCAGGGTAATTTTAACTCTGTGCTGCTTTCTCCTAAAAAAAAGGCAGCCCTTTTTCAGCCTAGGAGCGGAGGTCCGTGGGACCATCAAAGGAGAAGAGCAGAGAGCGGGACCCTATCCAGAGAAGCAGTGATGCCTGAGATGGAGGCAGAGACAAGGACGTGGAGAGATAGAGTGGCTGGGGACTCTAGACCCAGAGAGGGAGAGGAGCTGTGTGCTGACGACTGGGGGGCAGGCTTGTAGTGTATACCCTTTGGTTGGTAGATGATACATGGAGGGGACTATAACCATGAAACGATATACAATAGAAATAGAATGAATGTAAAACTAATGTTCTCCCATGTAAACTATCATATAATTCACAATAAAACATTAAAAAAAAAAAAAAAAAGGCAGCCCTCCTGTGCACTAGGAGTCCTGGTGTGGTGCTGTGGGCAAATGCACTGGATTGTAAAGTCAGTTTGAACTACAAGGTCGGTGGTTCAAGCTCACCAGCTGCTCCTTGGAAACCCTATACAGGGTCACAGGGTCACTATGAGTCAGAACCGACTCAACAGCACTTAACAACAACAACAACAACAGCAACTGGCCGGATCAATGCCTGGCATTCTGTAGGCTCTCAATACACCATTTTTAAGCATCAGTTGAATGAATGAAAGTAGCCATCAGTTTACAAGAAAGAACTTGCGCATTGGGATTATGACGATGGAATGAGATGGGTATCATTTCTTCAAGGAGGGGGCAGATCCAGCCATATTATATATTGGTCTATTCTCATGTGATATGTATGGATAAGCACACAATTCCTACTCTCCAGGAGCTTCCTGACTAGGGGAGGGCAGCTCAGTCTGCCGGTCAGTGTTCAGCATCATGAATGCTCAGGAGATGTCATATGCAAAGGCTGAGACATAAGGGGACGACCCAGGGGGATGGAGAAGGCTTCCCACAGCAGCAGCACTGGACACCAGACCTGAAGAATAAGTGGAAAGTTGCCAGGTGGACAATTGTTTGAAGGTATTCCAGGGGGTGAAAACAGCATGTGCAAAGGCACAGAGGAATGCAAAAGTTAAAGTGAATGGAGGTGAATACTGTTAACCGATGGTACATGGAAGGGATTGCAATCATTGTAATGAAACGAAGTGTTATGATTTGCTGAATGTAAAACCGATGAGCTGTTCTGTAAACCTTCACTCCATTCATAATAAAAAGTTCAAAAATAAAAAAGCTCTGAACAAGGACCACATGCCAAGAAAGGATTTGTCCAGCAGGCCTAGGCTTCTACAACGGGATCAAGGAAGAATGAAGTGGTGTGCCCAGAAGTCTGCAAAGCCGCAGTCTAAACATGGCATGTCTTCCTAAGCTCCAAGTAAATCAGCAGATCATTCTGAATGCTATCTTTGCATAACGACACCGAGAGATGAGGAGTAGGAGGGATGTGGACGGTGAGTTTAAAGGGAAGCCTGAGTTCAAAACCAAGTCCTGTCATAACTGTCTATGAAAAACAGCTCCAGGCATCACGCAGGTGCAGTTCTGAGCTCTGAGTTTTGGAAAAGCTCCATGGGAATGCTTGAGAGGTAGAACCCTGGAGATTACAGAGTCACTTAGAAGATGGAGGGGACAAGGGACCTGCTGGCTTGAGTGCTACGGGTCACACTCAGCCACAGAGGGGAGCCAAGGAGGAAAGGGTTTTGAGTACTGAATAGGACGAGGCCAAGGTTGGGAAGAGGACAGCTGTGTGGACACTGAAGAGGAAGCAGGTGGCAAAATGGTTAAGCGTTCAGTTGCTAACTTCAACGTCGGCAGCTCCAACCCATCAGCTGCTCTGCAGGAGAAAGCAGTCAGCTTCCATAAAGATGTTGTTGTTAAATACCATCGAGTCAGTTCAAACTCATGGTGACTCTGTATAGGGTTTCCAAGAAGCAACAGGTGGGTTTGAACTGCCAACCTTGTGTTCGCAGGCCAGTGCTGATCCTACAGAGCCGCATCAGGAATCCTCCATAAAGGTGGCGGCCTTGGAAATACTCTGGGGGAGCAGTAATACTCTGTCCTCTAGGGTTAGAATTGGCTGGACCACTATGGGTTTTTTGAGGAATGAGATCCTGAGCTAAAACTGGAGCAAGGGAGGCAAGGGAGGCCTGGGAGCAGGGGCGGGGGAGATACGGAGTCTTGGTCAGGACACAAGGCTCGCGTGGCACCTGCAAGTCAGCCAGGATTTCCCCTATACCTGGGTTCCATGAGCTCTCACTCACCTGGAAGATGCGAGGGTCCCCAGGTGGGGGGCTGCCAGAGGGTGAGTAAACAGGCTCCAGACGGGTAAACTCCTCAGCAAAGTTACCCACATCCAGCTCAGAACGGATCTGGGGTCGGAATGGGGCTGCAATCTTCCTCGCCGCCAGAGCAGCCCAATCCAGGCCCTGGAGAAAAGGAATCAGAGATCAGGGTTAAAGGTCAGGAATCAGTCTTGGACTTTTAGCCAAAACATGCCCTTTTAGGTTTAATTCAGTCTGATAAACCCTGCTGATTGCCGGCCCAGTATTCATTCTCCCTGTCTTCCTTAGTACTATCACCCCAAGTTCATCCCAGACAGCCATATATACAACTAAAATACAATCTTTTGGGAACTTCCTTGCAGTAAGGGGTGACCAATAACTTGTAAGCAAACATCGTGAGGTAGAACTCCAGGGAATGGTCCTCAAGAGGGAGACTGACGGTTGCCAAGTACCCTTTTTGCCCTTTCTATCCTTCTTCCTCCTGCTTCTTGCCTGAAAAGCAGCCTAAATGGCAAGAACTCCAGCAGCCATCTTGGACCACGAGGCAACCCTGGGATGGATCTTTTGTGCTAAGAATGGAGAAGCATAAGAACAAAGGAACATGGGATTCCTGAAGACAACATGAAGATACCTCAGCAGCCCTAGCCTGCCAACCTCCACCCTTTATGTGAGAATCAATAAATAAACCTCTTTATGGTTTAGGCCACTGTTCTTTCCAATGTCTTACTAACAGCCAAATGGCGATTCCAACAGATCTCACTATTTCGAGTTTAAACTTTTTGTCACTTCAAGTCAAGAGGCCCAAGTCAGGCTTAAAGATCCTCAGTTCTTGACAGGGATCCCAGCATTGCTATTTCCAAAAAGGTTACCCAGATAGTAGGTGGAATGAGGAGACACCCATCCTCAGCCCTCTAAGGCTTTGGAGTTCCTCCTGTGGACAGGTCAACCTGTTCCCAGCAGCCAGCATAGGACATAAAGAAAAATATTACTTTCCCTCCTCCCCTACAAAGGGACATTTTCACTGCACAGACTGGATTCCTGTCTGAAAAACCATCTTCAGTGGCCTTTTAGGCCGGTACTTGCAGAGGGGGTTCAAGAGGATGGTACTTGAAGTGCTGGTAACAGAATGCTGGCCCCATGGTAAAAACCAATCCAAACCTGCTTCGGGCTCATGACAACACTGTGGGTTATAGAGTGTAACTGCCCCATAGGGTTTTCTCGGCTGTAATCTTTACGGAAGCATATTGTCAGATCTTTCTCCCACAGTGCCCCTGAGGGGATTCAAACAGCCAACCTTTCGGTTAGTTCTTTTGAAGTGCCAAGGAGTCGGTTTCGACTCATAGCAACCGGTATAGGGTTTTCAAGGAGCAGCTGGTAGATCTGAACTGCCAACTTTAGCAGTCCAGTGTTTATCCTACAGCACTACATCAGGACTCTGGTTAGTAGTCAGGTGCAAACCATATGTTGAAGTCTTGGTGTGGCACTGTGGGTTGATGCGCCAGACTGCAAAGCCGTTTGAACTGCAAGGTCGGCAGTTCAAGCTCACCAGCCACTCCTCGGAAACCCTATATAGGGTCGCTATGGGTCAGAATCGACTCGACGGCACTTAACAAAAACAACAACAAAGAACTTAATAGTGTAGTGGTTACGAATCGGGCTGCTAATCTCACAGAAACTACCAGCTATTCTGCAGGAGAAAGATGAGGCTTTCTGCTCCCATAAAGATTTACAGCCTCAGAAACCCTATGCAGGGTCGCTATGAGTCGGAACTGACTCCACGGCACATAACAACAACAACACAGAACCTAATAGGTGGCCATAAAATGGGGATTTTGTTACCATATCATACAAATCTGATGACCCCATGCCAACAGGAGAATGGACCGACTAAGAACCCGTAGACCTGGGTTTGAATCTGAGCTACTTCACTTTCTGCCTGGGCACACTTGGGAAAATTACTGAACCTTTCTGAACCTCAGCTTCCTCACCTATAACAGTGGGGATGATATCAGGGTGGTTCTGCGGGTTACATGAAATAATGCAGGCCAAGTACCCACATGAGCATAGTGTGTACTGCTGGATGACCAATGGCACTGACCGGGCACAGCACCTGAGGGAGCATGGACTCACAGGGGGACAGAGTCCATTCCATTCTGCAATCTAACATGTATGTTCTCTTAACATACATGGGCTCTGTATGGCAAGCACTCAAACGGCACAAGGACAAAACAAAATGCCCAGGGGGCCACTACAAGCCCAACCTGTCATTTTCATTAGGAATTTGGACCCTGAGGAAACCTAGGCTTGTCTCCAGCTCAACACCCTTTTCTGTGCCATCTTGGACACATGGGCCTGTGAACTGAAAGGACTGACTAGCCCATTCTTGAGTCCCTGCCCACCTGGACACCATGACTAGAGCCCTTTTCTGGGACGCATCTGTGACGTCTCCACGAGAGGATGGGGTGGATAAGCCTGGACTCTCCCATACATTCCCCTGCTTTCTCTGGGGGGGTGGTCTAGATAAGGCGAAATCAGCCAGACTCAGACCCCCTCTAACCGGAGCAGCCACCCCACCTAGGTATACACAACAGGAAGGCATGGGGGCCTAGAGTCCAAAGCCTCACCTGGAAGAAGGGATGGTTCTTGACTTCTTGTGCCCCCTGGGGGCCGGCGCCCAGTCGCTTCTTGGGGTCCTTACAAAGCAGCCGCCGCAGTAGGTCCTGAGCCACAGGCCCGATCCGAGGGGGGAAGGGAGGGGAGCACTTCAGGATCCGTCTGGGAGGATTGGGGGGGCGTCAGGGGCAGTGAGCCCCCCCACCACAGCCCTGCCCAGGCAGGCCCCAGGCACTCGGCCACCACGGTCAGCCCTCCTCACCGGGACACCTCAGCCTGTGTGTTCCTCTCTCCTTCCAGCGTGAAGGGCGAGGCCCCGGTCAGCAGCTCGAAGAGCAGGATGCCCAGGCTCCACCAGTCCACAGCCTAACGGATGGGGCCAGGATAAGGGTCTGTGCTTCCTTCACCCCTGCCCACTGGCCCTGCTGGCCTGCCAGCCCACCTTGCCATGCCCAGACTTGCTGCGGATGATTTCAGGGGCCATGTATTCAATGGTGCCACAGAAGGAAAACGTCCGGTCTTTCTGCGAGGGTGAGAGGGCACGTTCAGGCCCCCAAGGCAGAGGGGCGGGGCAGCGGGCAGAGGGGCGGGGCAGATGGTAGAGGGGCGGGGCAGCGGACAGAGGGGCGGGGCACGGTCCATTCAGCCCCAGACACAGAGCTAGCAGACATAGCAGGCCTCCTTCACCTCCTCCGTCAGGAACTCCTTGCTCAACCCAAAGTCCGTGAGGACGATGTGGCCCTCGGAGTCCAGCAGCACGTTTTCCAGCTTCAGGTCTCGGTAAATGATGCCCAGCTGGCAGGAGGGACAAGAGGTCCACTGAGTTTCCGCCCCAAGACTCTCCCCAGCTCCAGACCTGCCGGGGCCAGCGCCCTGCCAGTGTCCCTCCACAATAGCCACCAACCAGGAGAGAGCTGCATGCAGAGAGACCCTGGGGACAAGAGCAAAGCCAGCGTGGAACCATTCAAAGGAACAAGGAAGGAGGACCCCAGAGAAGACCTCATGAGAGCACCCCAAAGTCCCAAGGGCAGAAAGCCTGGTGAGGAGTCCCAGGATGCCTAGGGCCCGGCTCTGAGGTCTGTGTTTGAGGAAGTTATAGCTCCGAACTCCTCGTGAAAGGAAAGCCCCTTTATGGGGAGGCACTAGGGGAGGACACCCCTACAGGCAGAGCTGAGGCCTACTCCAGGAAGCAGCTCAATCCCCTACTGAGGCACCGCTCCTCCCAGAAGGCCAGGGGAGAGAGACTCCCTTATAAGGCCCAGACCTGTCCGTGTGGTCAGAGCCTCTCCCACCTTGTGCAGGTGCTCCAGGGCCAACGTGATCTCTCCCCCGTACACGCGCACCTCGCTCTCCTTGAAGTGCTGGCGTTGGTAGAGGTGGGTGAACATTTCCCCGCCGCTCACATAGTCTGGGGGACAGTGAGGATCAGACCACTCCGGCAGGTTGACCATGCCTGTGCCCACCCAGGCTAGGTCACCGTGCGGCTATCCTTACCCAGGATGAGGTGCAGCTTGGCGTCGGTCTGGAAGGCGTAGTGCAGCGTGACCAGGAAGGGTGCCTGGCGGACCAACTCCAACACAGAACGCTCGGTGCGCGTGTGCTCCTGCGTCTTGGCGCGCTGCACCAGCGCTGCCTTGCGCAGCACCTTCATGGCATACAGCTTCCCCGCATCGTGCCCGCCCGCCTTCCGCACCAGGAACACCTTCCCGTAGGCTGTGGGAGCAGCGAGTGGGTGGAGGGTGGGCAGTGAGCAGGAGGGTACTGCAGACTGGCGGGGGTGGGAAGTGATGCCAACCCTGGAGGTTGTGCCAATCCAGGGTAGAAACCAGGGTACCAGGCAGGTGTGCAAACGGCTGGAAAAGGTGTGCAAACCATAGGGATGTACAACCCAAGCTGGGGATCATGCAAGCCCAGGAGGCCTACAGCAGATGGGGGCTGGGCATGTGCAAACCTGCCAGAGAGCAGGCAGATGCAAGAGGATGCAGATCCAAGGAAGAGAGCCAGAGGTGCGGGAGGGCTAGGGTGTTTGCAAAGCTAGGGACAAGCTCAGAGAGGATGAAGGGCAGGAGAGTGCAAATCCTTAGGAAGGATGCAAGGCCCGGCGGGTGTGGGCAAGCCAGGGAGGGGGCATGCAGACACAGGACCGCACAGGGAGGAACCAGGTCACCGTGGAGCCGGCCCTGGGAGAGGGCATGCAAACCCTGGCAGGGCAGGGTGGGGCAAGCCAGGCAGTTGTGCCGGGAAAGGGTGGGGGGCCTTCCCAGTGGCCTGGCCCGGGCCCAGACAAGTTTGGGGCCCTGAAGGCTCAGGGCACCGAGCATGGGACATCCGCCTGGAGTCCGGGGGTCCTCACCTCCCGTGCCCAGCACCTTGAGCAGCTCGAAGTTCTCCACGCTCACCTTCTCCTCATGCCCCGTCAGGTTGGCTGTGGGCACGGGGTGAGATCAGCCCCACAGATCGTGACCCCTCCCAGTCCCACGCGACAGCTCCCCTTCACCTCGTCACTGCTGCCCCACCTTCTGTGATCCGGAGCTCCACCGCACAGCCCTCGTCCTCGTCTTCGTCCCCCATGGCTAGGCCCGTGCGGCTCGGGCTCCAGGAGGCGCCGGTTACATGGCGGCTCCGGCCGGGGCGGGCGCTTCCTGGTGCCGCCTCCAGGCCAAGGCGGGTGCCGCCTCTCGGCTCCCCGCCCCTCGCAGCCTGAGTCAGGCGGTTGGAACGTGACAGCGCCGCGGGCTGCAGTGGGCGGCCGGCGGGGCGACCCTGTCACCCTGTGTAGGGGCCCAGTGTGTGCACTTGGGGGCCCCATGCAACCCTATCAGGGACCTGGAACTCCCCCTAGGAACCATGCCTGGGCTCCCAGATAAGTTGGAGCCACTATTGGGCATACACCCCACAGGCTAGGTGACGCCCTAGGAATCCTGCTGAACCCAGTGTCGGTATAGCAGAAGCCTGTACCCCAAGGGGGGGGGGGAGGGCGCGCACAACAGGCCTGCTCCTCTCAAAATCTGCACACCTCAAATAGGGGAAGCTCTCTGTCGATCCCCACCCTTGTCCTTGTCCAACACAGCCTTGGCCCAGCACCATGCACTAAACGTGGCCACCATCCTCGGTGCTGGCAGGCAAGTGTTGGGGAGTCCTAGCAGCTAGCCAGCCCACGGACAGAGGAAGCAATCTGGCCCCTGTTCCCATGACCCTCAGACAGACAGCAGAAACCCCCTCTCTGGAGGTATGAGTGCTGGTGCAGGGGGGCATAGGCTCTCAGAGGACCCAGCTACAGGAACCTCTCATTGCCTGCAGGGGGCACCTGACTTGGTTAGGGTCAAGGCTGGATTTTCCAGCTGGATCTCTTCTCTGGGCCTGTAGAGGAGCCTCAGCCCTAACCACCTTTGGAACCAGCCCAGGGCTGCGCCAAAAAGTATGTCAGAGCCTCTGGCTTCAGCAGCCCACCCTAAGCAGTCCAGATCTCTGACTCCTGTCTGGTCATCCAGACTAACTGCCCTCCTTCTCAGACAGACGTCTTTGAGGTCCTAGCCAGAGGCCCTGCATCCTTCAAATCCTGCGTCCCTCCACAGCAGCCCTTAGCACTAGGTGGCGCCCCACCAGAATGTGCGCTCCCTGAAAAGGGGTTCAACCCCAAAGAGAGGGGATGAGAAGGGAGAAAGGTGGGAAAGGAGAGAAGAGCGTACCCTAGTGGTGGGGGGAAAGACACAACAGGCTTCAGGTGGCAGCATCTCCATTTTATTCTCACATCCTTCACACCTCAGCTCAAAGATGGGCCCAGAACACAGACCCCAGGGAGTGGTCCTCAGCTCTCCGCCTGGAAGAGCCGGGTGGCTCTCTTGCTGGCTCCCGCCAGCTTCCCTCCACAGGGCAATCCCCCAGAGACTTCCTCCTCAGAGGGGGACGAACTGCTCCCCCACTAGGGCCCTGGCAAGGAGCTCGAAGGGGGTGCCCATTCCCCCTGTCCACAAGTTCATCCCAGCTCCATCTCAGGGTCCTCTTGTCCAAGGATTCCCGTCGGGCGCCTTGGCTGCTTGAGCTCTTGGGCTGGCGGAAGCCCCCACTGAGGCTCCAGCGGCGAGAGGACTGCGCTCTTGTGGTCCCTAGCCACACGTTGTCACTGGCTGAGGGAAGGGGCGAGGGGGCATTTCTCCTGTTCCTGCTCCTCGGGGCCTGGAAGGAAAAGCTCAGCTCAGGCCCCCTCACAGAGAAGGACCTCCCTGACCTCCCCCACTCCAGCATTCCGCCCTCCTCACAGGTCTTACCTGCCCACAATGCTGGTCCCAGATGGGCCTGACAAACTCACCTCCAAGTTTGCTCCAGCTCCACCTACCTGAGCACCCTAATTAAAACAGCAACCCAGCATTCCAACCCCCATCATTTGCCTCTTTTTTTCCAGAACATTCTCATCTCCCTGGTGACATAACGTTAAGCAGTTAAATGCGTCAGTTACTGTCTGAAAGCTCGGTGCCTTGAACTCACACAGCAGCTCCTCAGAAGAAAAGACTGGGTAATGCACTCTCATAAAGCGTAACCAAACCCAAACCCAACCCATAGACAGTTGGCCAATTCCTACTTAGGACAGAGTCCAACTGCCCCACAGGGTTTCAAGGTGGTTAGCTTTACAGAAGCAGATGGCCACAGCTGGTAGGTTCGAACCACTGACCTTTCGCTTAGTGGTCAGGTGCTTAACCTCTGCACCACCAGGGCTCCTTCCCCATAAAGGAGTGGTTGTGGTTGTTAAGTGCCGTGGCGTCGGTTCTGACTCATAGTGACCCTGCATAGGGTTTCCAAGGAGCAGCTGGTGGGTTTGAACCGCCTACCTTGTGATTCAAACTGACCTTGCAGTCTAACGCATTATCCCACAGCGCCACACCAGGAGGCCTCTATAAAGGATACAGCCTAAAAAATCCTATGAGGCAGTACAAGTCTTATCACAAAGGGTCGCTTGAACTCAGAATTGATTCTGGGGCACCTAACAAGGACCCCAATACTCCAGAACCGTACTGCCCAGTACAGGGCTACTGAGCACGTGCGATACCACTCATCCGAACTGACAGGAGCTGAAAGTGGGGAACAGACTCTGAACTTCCAAGACTAAACATGAACAAATGATGCAAAATACCCCACAGTGTCAAAGCTGTACACTCACAACATACGGAAACGCTATTTTAGAATGAAAGAAAATAGTCATGAAAATTAATTCCACCTGCCTCTTGTTCCCTTTTTTGATGAGGCTACTGGGAAATTGAAAATTACACACAAGACTCACATCCTATTTCAGCCACTAGAGATACTGTTTACTGTCTGTGCCCCCTACTAGAATGTTCCCTGTTGTATCCCCAGCTACCATAGGGCCTCACACTTAGTAAAGACTCAAAATCTACTTGTCAAATGAGCACATGGATGGATGAGTTCTGTCAGTAAAGCAACCCTGAGCCCCGACTCACCCTCTCGGCTGACATCGGCTTTGTGTTCCGCCAAGGTCTCGACAGAACCATCCCATCCCACACCTGGTCCTGGGGGGTAGAAGAGGATATGAGGTAGCCACTGGGCGACAGGGACAAGAGCAAAGGTGAGTGGAGGGTGTGAGACAGAAGGGAAGTCCCCTCCCACAAGGAGATGGTGGGTCCACAGGGAGGTGGGGGGCTAGCAAAGGCAGAAACCTCCTAGTCTCCCACCTGGGCGGCGCTGGCGGAATCGCTGCCGTGGGGTATCTCCGGGGCTGAATGACTCAGAGCTTCGCCCCACGGGTAACCTCGAGCTGAGTTTCCGTCGTTGCCTGCCTGCCACGTCCTGTAGGCACTGGGAGCTTTGGGCCCGGCGCATGGGTGCTGGTGAAGGGAGGCCTGCAAGAGCACCCAAAGGAAGTGTTCAGGGAAAAGTACAGACCGGGGCCAGGGCCCTCAGAGGGCCGGCAGGGAGGCTACAGGGTCCGGGAGAGGCGCTACTGCAGAAGCTTGACCGAGAGTTCCTGGGAATCGGGGTAGGGCCATCACCCTCCAAAGGCTAAGGCCTGAGCTGGCTCTGAGTGGACCTCCCCCTCTTGGACCCTCAGTTTCTTTGTCTGCTGAGATAAACAACCTCTCACTAAAGCCTCCCACTGCTCTGAGGTCCTGGGCACCACTGAAGACTGGGAGGACTGGTAGGTGGGCAGTGCAGGCGGGAGGGACCTCCGGCAGGGGCCCAGACAAAGGCATTGGAAGCAAACCCCTAGGCAGGTGGAGATGGGCAGCTGGGAATGCCAGAGAGAGAGGGAGCAGCCAGAGGAGTCAGGGTGGGGCCAGTGGACATGCGCAAGGGGCCATTCTGGTCACCTAGTACCCAAACCCACCTGTCCCATCTGCCTCCCTGCCCTCGGGGAGCTCCATCTCCAGGGGGCCCCCCAGGCTCATGGTGCTGCCAGTCCCATCGGCCCCCAGGCGCAGCACCCCATGGGAGCCCCCCTCCCGCCGGGGCCGCATCAGCCTCTTCACCTTGTCTGCCAGCCAGCTGCCCTTCCTGGGAGCAAGAGGGCACAAGATGGGGTAAGGACAAGGAGGAAGGAGGGAAAGGAGGGCCGTTGGGGGGGAATGGCTGAGGCCAGGCATACCCCCACTGGAGGCCTGCCCTGAGCTAGGGGTGAGGTGCCCAGCAGGGTAGGAGGACCCAGGCCCAGGGTGTGGGAGGGCTGGCCGCTCACTTGGTCCGGGGCAGGGGCCCAGGCTCCAGCACTCGGTACTGGTCCATTATCTTCTCCACCAGTTTCTGCTTCTCTCGACGCAGGGCATTCAGCTGGGCCCTGGTAGGATTGGGGCAGGAGGTGGGCGTGAGGCTGGAGGCTCACCACTCCTCCAGCCCCCTTGGCAGCCCCAGCCTTTCTCCCAGTGTATCCCCAGACAAAGGGGCCTCCAGACCCAGCTGGGGCCCCAACAGCTCACAGGTACTCGCGCTGCTCACGGTGCAGGTGGTCTCGACTTTCCAGACTGCGCTCCAGAAGCCCCCGGTTTTCCCGGCTCAGGGCCTGCACCTCTGCCAGCAGCTGCCGGTTCTCCTCCTCCTGGGCACTCCGCAGCTGTGTCAGCAGCTGGCAGGGGGCAGTCGGTAGGCCCGGTCAGGGGCCGAAGCCACCTCAAGGCAGCTGTGTCAGCTCTCCCAAACTACCCTTCCCTCCCACTGCATTCCTCAACGTGCACCTCGCATTGTGTGGTCAGTCGGCAGGCATTCAGGTCCAGCTGCTGGTTGGACTCTCGCAGTCGTTGGCTCTGGGCCTCCAGTTGCGCCCGTTCCAGCTCCAGCCGTGCCAGGCGGCCCCGAAGCTCCCCACGTTCACCCTGCAGTTCCCCTCGCTCCCGGGACACCTCCGCCAGCAGCAGTTGAGCTCTGCAGAGGCCAGAAGCTGCTATCTGAGGGGACATGCCCCCAGGCCCTTCCTGAAGGCCAGAGGAAGCAACGCAGAATCCTACAAAGACCAGGCAGGGACCCATTTCACAGATGGGAGCACTGAGAACCGGCTGCTACCTGTCATGCTCGCCCTGTAGTCGCCGCAGCTCCTCCTCCAGCCCCTGCTGCCGATGCCCGTCCTGCATCAGACGCTCTCGCTCAGCCAACAGGGCCACCTCCTGGGCCTCCAGGTTGGCGCGCTGGGCCTGCAGCTGCTCATGCCTGTAAGGAACAAGCCAAAGGTGCCCATCACCCTGACAGACAAGCCCCAGGGGGGACCGAGCAGCAGGGGAGGGGGGCCTGGTGGCAGGTGTGTTTTCCTGGTGGAAGGGACCTGAGAGAGTCTTTGGTGCCCCTGACAACTCACTCTACAAGTGAGTCCTGGAGGGGACAAACCTTACTTTATTACGAATATATTTCTTTCATTTTAAGACTAAGACGCGATGTGTATTTTCTGAGAGAATTCATACTAACTTTAGGTTGAAAGTGAGGAGGCCCTGGTACCATACTGGGTAAGCATTTGGCTGCTGACTGAAAAGTCAGAGGTTTGACCCCATCAGCTGCTCCTCAGGAGAGAGACGCGGCAGTCTGTTTCGTAGATTCCCAGCCTTGGAAACCTGTGGGGTGGCTCTGCCCGGTCCTTTGGGTTACTATGAGGGTTGGCAGTGGGTTCTCTTGGTTTTGGTAAACTGGATATAAAGCTGGGGGCATGGGACCACTGGAAGAAGTGTTGTTTGTGGGAACTCAGGGGTGAAGCTTGCTGGTAGGAAGAGCAGGCATGGCCCTTGACAAGGTGGGGCGGGGCGCTGGGTGCTGGCTCACCGGCCCTGCAGCTCCCGGTGGGCCAGTTCCAACGCCCGCATGTTGGCCTTGAGGTCTCGGTGCCGGACCAGCAGGCCCTCCAGCTCCGACTCCTGGCGCCGTTGCAGCTGGGCCAGCGCCTCATGGTCCCGCAGCAGAGCTTGCTGTTGCTCACGGGCCTCCTCCTGAGACCGCCGGGCCACCTGCACCTCCTCCTCAAGCACCCCCAGCCTCCGGTGCAGCTCCTGACCCTGCCGTTCCAGCATGGTCTTTTCAGCCTGGACACAAGAGGAAAGGGCAGAGGCTGGGGCTGGGGCCAGGCCGTGGAGGGCTAGGCGAGAGGTCAAAGGCAGGGATGGGACAGACAGGGTAAGGGAAGGGGTAAGGTCTGGTGGCTGGCTGTGGAAGAGGGAGCTGGAGATGAGGCCAAAAGGGGTGCAGATGGAGGAGCTGGAGCAGGAACCAGGGGAACAAGGGGGATGGGATCAGAGGGCAGGGATCAGTGTGACTGGGGGCTGCTGGCTGGGAGTTGGGGCAGAGAAGAGAAAGGCGCAAAATCATTATTTCAAAGAGTGGGCAGCAGTCAGAGCAGAGAAGGGCAGGGGCAGGACCGAGAGGGCACCAGAGGGCCACCCACCTGCAGACGGCCACTGTGCTCCTGTGCCCGCTGGCTTTGCAGCAGCAGCTCCTGAGCCCGCCCCTGCATGCTCCCCAGCTGTCCTTCCAGATGCTGTAGCTGTCCCCGCAGAGCTGCCTTCTCAGCCTCCAGCGCAGCATTCTGTCAGAAGAGGAAAGCTCAGCCGGTGGCCAGGTGGCCCAGCATCCACCCCCAGGCCCAGTCCCCCGGCCCACACTCACACTGCGCTCCACCTCGATAAGCCGCCCGCTCTGGGTCTCCAAGGTCCAAGGCCCAGCCTGCTTCTCAGGTCCCAGGCCCTCGGGGTCCTGGCGAAGCTGCAAGGAGAAGTCCTGGGAGGTCACCAGGGCAGTGGTGGTAGGGATGGTTGTTGTTATGAAGTGCCATTGAGTCTGTACGGCCCACAGTGACTTTATGCACAACAGAACGAAATACTACCCAGTCCTGCGCCAACCTCACAATCTCTGCTACGCTTGAACCCATTGCTACTGCCACTGTGCCAATCCATCACGTTGGGGGTCTTCCTCTTTTTCACTGACCCACCACTTTGTCAAGCGTGATGTCTTCTCCAGGGACTGGTCCCTCCTGATAAATATATCTAAAGTCTGAGAGACAATGACCATCCTGGCTTCTAGGGAGCATTCTGACTACTTCTTCCAACACGGATCTGTTTGTTCTTCTGGCAGCCCATGGTACTTTCAATATTCTCCTCCAACACCATAACTCTAATGCATCAAATCTTCTACAGTTTTCCTTATTCCTTGTCCAACTTTCACGTGCATATGTTGTTGTTGTTGTTAAGTGCCGTCGAGTCGGTTCCCACCCATAGCAACCCTGTACAGGGTTTCCGAGGGTGTAAATCTTTACGGGAGTAGAAAGCCTCATCTTTCTCCCGCGGAGTGGCTGGTAGTTTCGAACCGCTGACCTTAAGGTTCGCAGCCCGATTCGTAACCACTACGCTACTACTGGAAACACTATGGTTTGAGTCAGACGCACCTTAGGTCTCAAACTGTCATTTTTGCTCTTGAACACTTTAAAGAAGTCTTACGCAGCCTGGTGTGGCGCTGTGGGTTAATGCGCCAGACTGCAAAGCCGTTTGAACTGCAAGGTCGGCAGTTCAAGCTCACCAGTCACTCCTCGGAAACCCTATACTGGGTTGCTATGGGTCGGAACAGAATCGATACAACAACAAATACAGCAGATTTGCCTGATGCAATACGTCCATCGTTTGATTTCTTGACTGCTTTCATGAGTGTCGATGGTTGACCCAAGCAAAATGAAGTCTTTGAGAACTTCAATCTTTTCTCCATTTAACATGACATTACTTTACCGGTTCAGCTGTGAGGATTTTTGTTTTCTTTGCATTGGGGTGCAATCCATACCAAAGGCTGCGATCTTTGATCTTCATCAGTAAGTATTTTAAGTCCTATTCGCTTTCAGCAAGCAAGGTGGTATCATCTGCATATTGCAGGGATGGTGCAGGGGTGGGGGGGGGACCTAAACCAGAGGACTCTTAACCCTCCTGGCAGCGTTGGCACTGCCCTGCCCACCTTCATCACATGCCCCTCTCTGGTGGGATTTTCACACTTTTCTGCACTTTGCTGTGTTCCACAGTAGACCTGACCTTTGCCCAGGCTACTCACACCCTCCTCTTCCTCTGAGTCCCAGTCTAGACACTGCTTTCTCTTGCAAACCATCCCCATGCCAGGGGTCCCCCTCTCCTCACTCGGTCCTATTGCTGCCCTCAGCCCTCATTGGCTGCTCTCTTTATCCTAACTACATTGTGAGTGCCCGTCCCACCACCTGAACCCTGGGCCCAGCACACACAGGTGCTCTCTAATCATCTCCTGACTTACCATGCCAGTGGCCAGGCCACGAGAAAGTGTGGGCCCAAGCGACCGAAGCACAGGGGGCCAAACAGGGGAGCTCACAGGGTTCTGAGCATCTGACAAACGGGGCTGATGGCTGGGGGGGAAACAAAGCCCCCAGAAAGCTACACAATGCACAGCCTGAACAGAGCTGTTCAGCCCCCCGGGGAGCAGACTCCTGACTCCCAGCACCAAAAACCAGGAGCAAAGCCAGAGGGACAGGCATACTCAAGGCCCTGAATGTCTGCTCGTGGAATGGATGGGGTGGAGGAGACCCCCAGATCACACGTCCAGAAGCTCACCTGGAACAACTCCTCTTCCAGCTGCTTGGCCCGCGCCTTGAGCTCCAACAGCGCCTCCTCCTTGCTGGTGGCGGCTGCCTGCAGCTCCGCTTCCATTCGCTGCTCCAGACCCTGGTACCTACCAGGAGCAGCCTTGGTACCAGCCCTGCCACCACCAGCCAGCCCCAAGTCGCTGCCCACCCCTGCTCCTACCGGGCTCCCCACCTCTGATGCTGGCTCTCCTGGTCCTTCCGCCACTCCTGCCTTTCCACAGCTGCCTGTTCCAGCTCCCGCTGCAGGCATTCCAGCCGGGCCCCCAGTTCCTGGCCCCGCACCACCGCCTTGTCTAGCTCCTGGGACAGACAGAGGAGACTCAGGGCAAAGGGACAGCATCCACCCAGGGAGCAGGGCCAGGGGCAGGCAGAGACTGAGTGTTTTCACCCTTTGGGCCTCTACTTTCTAAACCAGGAGCAAAGCCAGGTGACCTCACAGAGTAGGTGTGAAGGAGCTGGGAGGCTAAGGAGGGGAGATCCCTGGGCTGGGAGTGAGAGATTCTCCCCGACAGGTGTCTTCACCTTTCTGAGCCCATGGTTCCTCGTGTACACAGGGAGAGGTGGGCACACCCTGCGGGCTGAAGCCAGTCCGGCAGCCATGAAGACATGAGGGGCCCAGTGTGGTGGGTCTGGAGAGAGCCCTTGGCCACCCGGGAGATGACCATAGAGGACTGACAGGCCAGGAACTCCACAGGCCCTAACCACACTGGGGTCCGGGCGGGGGAGCACTAGGATTTGGCAGTTGGGCCACACCATCGTGGAAGGGGGAGAGAAGCACACTGCCTCTGGGCTCCAGAAGGAGGTGGGTCAAACCATTCTGAGGTGGGGGGTGGGCCTTGACAGGATGAAACCACAGCAAAATGCATACTCTGACCGGATGCCCACCAAATCCTGCCACTAGAAACCAAGCCCACAAACTTCCAACTGTACTGGTTTCACAACCCAACCAGGGCCTCGCCTCTGGGGCACAACATTTCCCAACACCCTCAGTCCCGGCCTCCTCTGAAAAACTACAAGTCCCATGAGGCACTGCTGCTAGACAGACAGCACTAGATTCAGGGGCTGGGGACAGGAAGGTGTAAATGAAGAAGACTGGAATCTGAGTCCAGGCCCCTGACCTGTCTCCACAGTGCTCATAGTGCCCTCCTCTACAACACCACCCGCTCTTTACCCAGCCTGGAGGTTTCAATGCCCACCTGAACAGCCCACGTTGCCCTCACTTCCCTCACTTCAACTTGCAACCCACCCATCATCACCAAGAAACCTCACAAAACTCCCTTTTGTCCCCAACGTCTCCCACCGCTCTGGGTCCTCTGAGGCTGCTCTTCCAGCTGACTAACCTTCCTAGTCTTCCCATCACTGCCACCTGCTGGCATTTCCTCCTGCCCTGCACCATCCTGCACCATCCTCTCCTCACTCCAAGGACGTATACTTGTACTAGGAGCTTGCTCTGGTAGCGTAGTGGTTACAAATCAGGCTGTAAACGGCAAGGTCAGCAGTTCGAAACTACCAGCTGTTTCGCGGGAGAAAGATGAGGCTTTGTGCTCCCGTACAGGGTCACTATGAGTCTGAACCAACTCAAGGGCACATAACAACAACGAGAGCCTGCCTACAGCTGTCCCAAGCTCCCTACACTCATATTCTTACAGGATCCTACCAGGCAGGTACTGTTTTTATTCCAGCTTTACAGGTGAAAAAGCTGGCACTCAGAGAGGTTAAGTAACTTGGCCCGAGCTACTCAGCTGCTAAGTAGGGAATCTGGCTCTAACCCCATATCAGCCTGACAGCATGGACCCCACAGCCAACCTCTAGGCCTTATCTTCTCACAAGATTCCCGTGTTCTCTAGACCTCCCACACCCCTGGGCCTGTCTTGCCCCATGTCAAACCCCCAGACCTTCCTTGCATCTATAAAATTGGGGTAAAATGGAAAGAGTATCAAGTCACATGGTTGAGTTCCTGCCCCCGCAGGGTACCCTCACCCCCCCAGGACTGGGCCTGCAGCCTCCCTGGGTGGGAACCTCAACACACAAGCCTGACCAGGTCACTCGGTTCAAACCCTTCAGTGGCTGTTCTCTGTTTCCTCATTTTTAAAAGTTCCAACTCCTACTTTAGCTTAAAAGGAAGCTGGGGCCCTGCCTAACAGAAACTCTGCTTAATTCTCTGCCTCACTTTTTCCACACCCCACCTCACACTTCACAGCATTTGCTCCCACTCCCTCCAAACTGAAGGAGCTCTGGTAGCGGAGTGGCTATGAGTCGGGCTGCGAACCTCAAGATCAGCAGTTCGAAACTACCAGCCGTTCCTCGGGAGAAAGATGAGGCTTTCTGCTCCCATAAAGATTTTGTTGTTGTTGTTGTCAGGTGCCATCGAGTCGGAACCGACTCATAGCGACCCCATGCACAGCAGAACGAAACAATGTGTGATCCTGGGCCAACCTCACTACCGCTGCCACACTTGACGCCATCAATGATGCCACCTGGCTGATCCGTCTCGTTGGGGGTCTTCCTCTCTTTCTCTGACCCTCCATCTTACCCAGCATGACATCCTTCTCTAGCGACTGTTCCCTCCTGACAATATGTCCAAAATATGAGAGACAAAGTTTAGCCATCTTGGCCTCCAAGGAGCACTCTGGCTGCATCTCTTCCAAAACAGATCTATCCTCCAAAACCATATGCAGGGTCATTATGAGTCAGAACCGATTCTATGGCACACCACCACCCTGCAAACTGAGGCTCTTGCTCCAGGAAGGCTGCCCTGACACACCTAGGCTTTCTGTACTGCCCCATCTCCATCTGGGACTGTGAACACCTTCCCAAGAAGGGGGAGCCTTGTACACAGCCTGGCACTAGGGAGATGCCCTAAACATGTTTGAATGAATGAAGGTGTTTCCAATCCCTCCCTGTCCCTCTGCCTGCCACCAACCTCACCTGCCACCCGGGCCACTGCCACTGCCACTACCTACTGACGACCCAACAGGCCGGCCCTCTCCCTGCCTGTAGATAAAGTACGAACCTCTTCAGAAATCCCTCATCCCCACTCCACCCAGGCCCGAGTCTGTTTAAAACCTTAAAGTTACGACTATCCCCACCCTAAAGCTCAGAACCCACCCCATGAAATCCCTGTTATTCTCAGAAATCTCCCTGAAGATTCCTTATCCCACCCAGCCATCAGCTCCCCCTCCCACAGACCCCTGAAGCTGCTCTTACCAACCAACACAGTGTCTGATTACCCAAAAGACCCACTGAGGCAGCAACAAAGAGCTTGCCCGTTTTACAGGAGAAGTTGGGGTGAGGATTAGCTTGCCTGTGGTGAGATTCATGTGGTCTGGCTCCAGAGTCCACACTCTTATCCCATCCAAACAGCCCCCTACACTTGGTATCAGGGACAAAGGACATCAACTCTGTGTGATCTAGGTCAGGAATCCCCTTGGAGAGCAGGGGTGGGCTTGTACCCCTAGTCCCAGCATGGTGCTGGGCACTTAATGACTATTGGTGGAATTAATAAGGAGTCCTGGTAGTGCTGTGGGTTAGGCACTGGGCTGCTGACTGCAAGGACATCAGTTCAAACCCACCAGCCGCTCCCTGGCAAAGATGAGGCTGTCAGCTCACATAAAGGTTCACAGTCTTGTAAACTCTATACAGGGTCACTCACTATATATCAGAATCCACTTGATGGCAGTGGGTTTGGGGGTTTTGGTAAGATTAAGAAGCCCAAACTAATAGCACTTGACGTTAAGGCTGTCCTTGACCTGGTTTCCCGGCCCGGAACCCTGAACCCTGACTTACCTCCCTGAGGACCTTCTTCTCCTGCCGTTCCTTCTCAGCCTCCTCCAGGTGTCTGCGGCCCTCACTCTCCAGCACTTGCAGCTGTTCCTCAGCAGTCTCGGCCCGGGACCGAAGCCGAGGTCCCTCCCGCTCCCACTGCCTCCGCTCCCGACCTGCTGCAGCCAGCGCCTCAGCCAGCGCCTCCCGTTCCCTGGCAGCAGCTTCCAGCTCCCGGCTGGCTGCCTCCAATGCCTCCCGAAGCCCAGCCTGTTCCTGGGCCTGGGCCTCTACCTCCTGGTAGGCCTCAGCCTCTGCCCTGCGTGCCTGAGCCAGTTCCTCACAGAGGCGGGCAGATTCCGTGGTTCGGGTCTCCAACCTTCGGGCCTGGGCCTCCAGTTCAGCTCTGAGAACCTCAGCCTCTCTCCTTAGCTGGGCCACCTCCTCCCTCAGAGTTCCCTGCTCTGGGACACCACTGGCCAGGATCTCCCCTGGGATGGGCTCCTCCCAGACCTGGGTCTCAGGAGCCCCTTCTGATCCTTGCTGTGGTTGATTATCAGCTGTTTCTCTGATGGTTTCCTCTAGTCTTTGGTCAGGGTCTCTGGCCTCTATCTGCACACTGGACAGGTCCAGGCCCTGACCTTGGATCTCCTGCCCCCTCAACTGTTCTCTGAGGTTCACAGCTCCTGGTTTGAGGCCCGAGTCCTCCAGTCTCAGCCCCTGGGGCTCAGGTCCCAACTGCCCTGGAAGAGTCTCTCTCATCCCGGTCTCCCCGTGCGGCAGCAATTGGGCCTGAATTTCGATCTCTCGACTCTGAGATAGCATCCCAGCAGAGACAGGTGTCTGGAAAGGGACTTCATGGCCAGCTTTCTCCAGGGACTCATGCGTCTCCACAGCAGGGCCTGGATCCTGTGGAGTCAAGTCACAGCTCTGGAGGGCCACGTCTGCTTCCTGGAGGGATCTATCCATGGCCTGAGGGCCGGACTCAGATGCCTGGGGACACTCATCTGATCCCTGGGGTGCTGAATCTGATGTCCAGGGAGTCAGGCCTAAAGCCTGGGGGTCTTCATCCCCTGCCTGGGGCACCAGGCCCTGAGGGTTCGAGTCTGCAGATAACTCTGGAGCTCTGAAGTCCTCGCTCTGCTCCTCCAGCAGGGGGTGCTGGGGAAACACGGAAGGGACAGTCAGGAGGAGAAGGAGGTTCGGGAAGGAGTTATTAGGAAGGTAGGGAAAAGCCTCACCTCCTGCCCTGAGCTCCCCTGCAGCACCTGAAGCAGGTTTCGAAGCTCCTGATTCTCCAGCTCGAGGGTCCGCAGCCGCCCAACCTCGGCCTCCCTCACCTCGTCATGCAGAGAGGGGGCTGCTCCTGACAGGGGTGCTGGGGGGATGAAAATGAAGTCAGGACCCCATATCTATCCTTAGCCACCTCCTCACATACATCCTACAGAAACCTGGGAATGGGGCGAGGTCAGAAGCCCTCCATCACTGCAGGAAAACTCAGGCAGTTCCCACCCAGGGCCCCTATGCGAGGCCCGAGGCCCTCACCCTCCACGGGAGAGCTCGGGGGTGGTGGCTCCAGGCTGCGTTGGAGCGCTAGCTCCAGCTCCACGTTCTCCTCCGACAGCCGGTCCACCTGATGCCGGAGAGAGTCCAGTTCCTGACGCGAGGGTGGGGAGAAGAGGGTCAGAGAATCAGCAGCGTTAGTCATGGGGATCACGGATCAGCAGGGACACAGGCCCACCCAGCTGGGGTCCTCTGGCAACCTCACCGCATGCGCCTCTCCCAGCCGGGTCCGCAGCAGCAGGTTCTCGCGCTGGCTCTCGTGCAGCCGGGCACAGCGCTCACGGGCGGCCTCCAGTTGCCCCTCCAGAAGCGCCTTCGAGGCCTCCAGAGTCTCTGAGACCGCCCGCTCCTCCTGCAGGGAGAACAGAGAGAAAAGGGCTGCACTCGCACGGCTCAAGGGCCTCGCCTCGCTCCTCAAGCTTACTCCCATCCCTGTCTCTCTCTGGATCTCCCCTCTCCTCTTCATCTCCCCTCCCCGTTCCCACTTTTTCTCTTCCCCAACTTCCAAAGCATAGGAACCCTGGTAGCGTGGATTACGAGCTGAGCTGCTGACCACAAGTTCATTAGTTCGAATCTACCAGGCGCTCCGCGGAAAAAAGATAAGGCTTTCTGCTCCGGTAAAGATTTACAGCCTAGGAAACCCCGTACAGGGTCGCTGAGTCCATACCACTCAACCGCACACAATTTCTCAAGCTCCTAGCCCCGCCTCGCTGCTCTGTAAGCCCCACCCCCTTCTGCCAGAACCGCCTCTCGACCAGTCACTGCTCTAGGTTTTCTCACAAGACACCACCTTCCTGCGTGGGCTCCACCCTCTTCCCCCTACCTTTCTCGTCCATCTGCTTCGTCCCTCTTCCCCAGACACCATCTACCTCATTTGTGCTCACGCGTTTCACCTATCCTCCTTAAAGCCTTGACCTGTCTGTTTTCTCTGGACTCAATCCACCTCCCTGTTTGCACCGCCTCCTGGTCACACCCCTCTCCCATCAGGCCTCGCCCCTCACCTCCAGCTGGCCCTTGCAAGCTTCGGCAGCCCGCAGCCTCTCCGCGCAGCGCCGCAACTCCTCCTGCAGGCGGGGCAGGCGCCCGGCCCGCTCCCGCAGCGCCTCAGCCTCCTCGCGGTACAGCTCCGCCCGTTTGGCCTGCCCCGACAGCGCCTGAACCTGGGCAGACGGTGCGGAGCTGACAATGGCCAGTTGCGGGCCAGAGGACTTAGGGTCGCGAAGGAAAGGGTTGGGGGAAGGGAGACCATGGGTAGGGTGGAGCGGGGCAATGGCTGGAAGCAGTGAGGAGCACCTCCTGGCGGAGCCTTCGAATTTCTGCCTCCAAGCCTTGCACCTCCGTCTGGGAGTCCAGCAATAACTCGGCCTTCTCCTCCCTGGAGGAAAGCAGAGCTAGCTGGAGGGGGTGTGGAGGCTGCAAACCCCTTCCTTACCAGACCTGAGCCTGCGGCGCCCACGGACTCAGCCCCCATTCCGGCCTCATCTGCCCCACCCCCGCCAGATCCCCTTTCCCAGCCCAAGAGCACTTACAGCTCCAGCCGCAGCCGCCGCAGCTGGGCCTTAGTGTTGGCCAGCTGCAGGGCCAGGTGGTGAGCTGAACCCTCCAAGGGGGTCTGGGTGCGAGCCTCAGGCGGAAGAGGGGCCGGCTCCCTCTCCAGCAGCAGTTCTGCTAGCCTCTGTGTGAGTCAAGGGACAAGGACCAGGAGAGACCTGGGCCAAGGTACTCCACATGGAAACCTGGTCGTCAGTCAGCCCAAGACGCCAGACTCCCTCCCTCTGCTCCCCACCTGGGCCCCAAACTTCCGTCCATTCCAACACCTCTGCCACCCCCTACCTGGGCCCCCACATCCCGCTCCCGTGCCAGCCTTGACAGTGTCCCTTTCAGGCTCCAAGACAGTGTTTCCAACTCCGAAGGTTCCAGCTCCCCAGGCAAGGGCCCAGCCAGCGCCAACACCATGCCTGCCCAGGGCTGGCTCACCTGGTGGTGCAGAGAGCAGCTCAGCAGGAGCCCCCTGGGGAGGGTGCCCATCCCAGGCCATTGGTCCCACCCAGTACCTCCTGGATGTTTACAGCCAGCTTGCTCTGGACCTCAAGACTGAGACCCTGGATGTGACGGATGAAGAGTTCACGATGCTCACACTGCGGGGAGACAAGGGGCTGGTACAGGGAGTCTCCCATCCTCCGAGGCCCACCTGGCTGAACCCCCTAGGTTCCCACTGCTTACCTGCACAGACGCCCCCAGCATTAGCTGTAGGAGGCCTCCCAGTTCCTCCATCGCCTCCTCTGCAGGCACAAGCCACCGGGTCAATGGATGGGGGTGGGGGGAGGGATGGGGCAAAGGGACTGTTGGGGGGGGGAATACCTGAGAGGGGGTCAAACCCCAACCTCTGGAGATCAGGGGGTGGTAACAGGATTAGCAGCTGAAGCTCCTCCTGAGGGGGGAGGGGATGGAAGATATGAGGGGTCTTCCTGAAGCAGGCTCCCCATCTTAATCTTCCCCTACCGACCCTCACCTGGTAAAAATCCCTCAGTCGACCCCACAGTTGACTCAGGTTCCGGACCCTCCTGGCTGCAGGATCCTCATGGCCTCCCACCACCCGAGGTACCCCTCTGGAACTTGGGGCACTGTGGGCACAGGGAAGAAAGTATAGTCAAGTGTCCAGTCAGCTTCATCCCATCCAAGCCCTTCACCATCACCCAGGCTCCTCCCACCAGCTTTCTCTGCCCCTCCCCCATCGCCCCCTGCCGCCCCTTACACAATGTCCAGCACCCGAAGGAGGAGGGCCCCATCGCTGAGTTGAAAGAACCTCCTCTCGGTACTGAGCCCCTCTTCCTCCTTTTCCTCCTCTTCTTCCTCCTCGTCTTTACCCTGGGGCACCTCCACCTCCCCCACCAGCCCGGCAAGTCCCAGAGCCTGTAGGGAACAGAGAGGACTCAGCTGAAGCAGGTAGGAGCCCCTCCCCATTGACCTACTCCCATGGGGCCCAACCCCCACCCCTCACCAGTTCTCCCAATACCTCCCCGCACCTTGGTCTCTTTCCTTTCACCACTACTGCTGGGACCTTGCCCACCCTCACATTTGGGCCCGCCCCTACCTTTAAGCCCCAGCTCTGCCCATAGCAACCCCTCCCACTGCTCACTTCCCCTCCAGCCCCACTCCCTCCCACCTGCCCCCCTCACCCAGGTGGCCAGACTTCCACTCAGGAAGTCTCTGAGTCTGGGCCCCTCGCCCCACTCCATGCTGGCCTTGGGGTGTTTGCCCCGCTGCGGCAGCTACACCTGACTTGAGAGGAAGAGGAAGTCCCCGGCTGGGGGATCCCGGCCCAGCCACCGACACCCTGTGCAGCTTCCTCCTTCCGGGGGCAGGCGGGCCTCTGCACCCCCGAGCCCTGCCTGTGTCCCCACATCCTTACCCAGCCAGGCGAAGCCTCCTCTGCTCACCCCAAGCCTGCTGCTCCATAGAACTGGCCAGAGCCACCTAGAGCAAGGCCTGCCACAAGGAGAGTGGGTCTTTCATTCTTAGGGCTGAGACCCCCAAGAAGAAGACTTAGTGCCTGTGTCCCCAGGACCTCTGTAGAGCCCCCAGACCTTGCATAGTGGTGGTGGACAGGGACTGGGGACAGAGAACACAGGAGACCTGCATCTTCATCTTGGGATATTCCAGGCCCTTCCCACTCCCTTTGTTGTTAAATTTATCTACCCCGCCCCTCACTTGTGGGCCCATGTTCAGATACCACCTCCTCCAGAACTGAATGAACCCCAGCCAGAATGAGCACCCCTTCCCAAGTCCTCCAGACTCTACATCCACTGGGCTGGGCCTGGCTCTCCCTGGTCAGACCTTGACTTCCATCCAGAAGACAAGCAAGTTGGACTCCATGGAAGCAGAACAGTGGGGACCCGCAGCAGATGTGTGTGGAAGGTAAAGGCTAGAGGACACCCCAGTTCCCCCCACTGCTCCCCATTGATTCATTTTCTCAGGCACTGTTCTAGGTGCTGGGATGAAGTTTTAACCCACACTGTCCTTGTTCCCTTGGGATGCACAGTGCACTGGGGAGACAGCTATCAGAACTCACTTACGCAAACATGCTGTGTGTTCCCCAAGGGCTATGAAGGTGTTACTAAATGTCCCCCAAAATTGGTGTTGAAATCTTGATCTCTATACGGGTTGATGTAATCTCATTTGGGAATAGAAGTTTCTTTGTTATGTTAATAGGGCCATTATCAGCCTAGGGTATGTCTTAAACCTTATCACTTTTGAGATACAAAAAAAACAGAATAGACATGGAAGTAAGCATAAACAGATGCTGCTTGAAGCTCCCAAGGAAACTTAAGAACCTTGGGGTTTTCCCCTCAGTCAACAGAGAGGGCCTTCCTCTAAAACTTGTGCCTTGAAAGCAGACTTGTAGCTTCCTAAACTATGAGTCTTGATGTGGTGCTGTAGGATCAGTACCTGGCTGCTAAACACAAGGTTGCCAGTTCAAGACCACCAGCCACTCCTTGAAAAACCATTGCTGTGAGTCAGAACCGACCCAACAGCACTAAACAGCAAGAACAAACTGTGACAAAAAAAAGTATGTTCATTAAAACCACCCGCTTTTTTTACTTGTGGGTTTGAACCACTGACCTTACAGTTAGCAGTTCAGTGCTTATCCTACAGTACCACACCAGCTGCACTAAGAAACTAAAAACCAAAGCCAATGCTCTGGAATCAGCCCCAACGCATCATCACCCCATAGGAAAGAGTGGAATTGCCTCATGGGGTTTCTTTTTCCCTGAGTGTCATCTCCTACAGTTAATGAATGCCATTTTAGCTTTGATGAAGCATGAGGTCATAAAAATAACAGCCGTAGCAAACACAGGCTTACCATGAGCCAAGTGTGACTATTGTTGTTAAGTACCATGGAGTTGGTTCTGACTCAGAACCCTACAAAGGGTTTCCAAAGCTGTAAATCTTTATGGGAGCAAACCGCCTCATCTTTCTGCCGCAGAACAGCTGGTAGTTTCGAACTGCTGACCTTGAGTTTAACAGCCCAATTTGTAACCACTAAAACTTTTTAAAGTGTTGAAGAGCAGAGATGTCAGCTTGAGGACTAAGGTGCGTCTGACCCAAGCCATGGTATTTTCAATAACTTCATATGGATGCAAAAGCTGGACAGTGAATAAGGAAGATCGTAGAAGAATTGATGCCTTTGAGCTGTGGTGTTGGAGGAGAATACTGAAAGTGCCATGGACTGACAAAAGAACCAATAGATCTGTTTTGGAAGAAGTGCAGCCAGAGTGCTCCTTGGAGGCCAGGATGGCTAAGCTTCTCATCTCTCATACTTTGGAAATATTGTCAGGAGGGAACAGTCACTGGAGAAGGATGTCATGCTAGGTAAGATGGAGGGTCAGAGAAAAAGAGGAAGACCCCCAACAAGATGGATCAGCCAGGTGGCATCATTGATGGCGTCAAGTGTGGCAGCGGTAGTGAGGTTGACCCAGGATCGGACATTGTTTCATTCTGCTGTGCATGGGGTCGCTATGAGTCGGTTCCTATTCGATGGCACCTGACAACAACAACAGGCTACCAGAGCTAGTTAAGAACAGGGCTAGTCTAAGACCAATCATTAGAAAAGGATATCATGTTTGGTAAAGTAGAGGGTCTGACATACTAACCACAACAATGGGCTCACAGAGACCCAAGTGGATGCTGATGGGTCAAGGATGGACAACGTTTTGTTCTGCAAGGCCAACTCGATTGTTGTTGTTGTTATGCGCCATGGAGTCGGGTTCTGACTCACAGCAACCCTGCACAGGGTTTCCAAGGCTATAAATCATTACAGGAGCAGAAAGCCTCATCTTTCTCCCGCTGGACAGCTGGTAGTTTCAAACTGCTGACCGTGAGATTAGCAGCCCAATTTGTAACCACTACGCTACCAGTGGCAACTCACAAAAACAATAGTCTATGAAATAAGGATTATAGATTATCTCCATTTTACACAGAAGGGCACTTGAGGAACATGCCCAAGATCACGCAGCTATTAAGTGACAGACCAGAGCAGGTAATAGGAAACCAGGTAGGGTTGTTAGCAGAGGAGCACGCCTAGTTACTTGACCCTCCTGAGATACTATCTAAGGAATGCCAGAGGTGCAGTGGTTGAGCAGTTGCTGACCAAAAGATCCACAGCTCAAACCCACAAGCTGCTCTGAAGGAGAAAGATGTGGCATCCTGCATCTATAGACTGACAAACTTGGAAATACTGCGGGGTAGTTCTACTCTGCCCCACGCGGTCATATGTGATGAGTCATCATCGCCCGCACAGCAATAGTGGCACAGTGAATAAAGTGCCTGCTGCTAAGCAGATGGGCAGTTCATAGCCACCAGCCACTCCTGGAGAGTAAGATGTAGCCCTCAGCATGTATAAAGCTGACAGCCTTGAAAACCCAATTCTCCTCTGTTTTATGGTGGTGGTTGTGTGCCACCAATTCATAGTGACCCAAAACAGGGTTGTAATCTTTGAGGGAGCAGAAAACCTCATCTTTCTCCCATGGAACGACTGGTAGATTTGAACTGCTGACCTTGAAGTTAGCAGCCCAGCTTGTAACCCACTCCACTCCCAGGCCTCCTGCTGCTTCTAGGGTTGCTATGATTCCCACTTGACAGCAGTGGGTTTGGTTTTGGTTTTGAGACTCCTCTGGAAATGGGAGAATTCCCATGAGCCAGTGCCTAGCACATGCACTCATTAAATGGTCCCTGGGGTGGTGCTTAGCACGAGCAGGACTGCTATCAAGGCCCCTTTTGGTTTTGACCCTCTGATTCTGACTCCCAATTTGTAACCCCCAAGGATTCCAGTCCAGGAAGTGGTAAGGAACGCCTGCTCCCTGCCAGTCCAGCAGGTCCAGCCTAACCAGTGGGCCTCACACTCTTGTGGTCAAGGGCGCTGCCTTACTCAACATCTCTGAGTCACTGTTCCCCGGAGGCAGGGGCTATGTCAACTATCGCTCTCACATCCGTCCCAGAAGACAAGCCTGGCCGCACCTCGATCTGGTTTCCTGACCTGGCTCAGCTGCAGGGGGTGAGGGAGGTTGGGGAGGCGTCCCCAGTCCACTGCCATGAAGATCTGGGATTCTGTGGCTCGTTAAGGGCAGAGGGTGTTAATTATGGAGTAGAAAGCTAGTAGAAGGCCTTTTCCTTTGGCTATTAATAAGCACTGACAAATTTCACGCAGTGTAATTTCACTTACTGAGGTACTTCCCAGATTCACTGCTGTTCCTCAGTGTTGCGTAGCATTCCATCATGTTTCTGTACCAAAGTTTGCTTAGTCATTCTTCTGTTGATGGGCATTTAGGCTGGCTCCATCTGTTTGCTGTTGTGAATAGGGCTACATCACAAAAAGGTAAATATTGTATTAGGGCACTGTTGTAAATAGTTAAGACAAGGTTTTCTTGATAAAAAGAAACATTCTATGATGGTTAGCAGGGGTGGCAGGGAAGGGAAAATTATTCATGGGCTACAAGGTAGACACGGGTTCACTTGGGTGATGGGGAAGGCAAGAAGGAGTTTGGCGGAGGAAAGATGAAAGTAGCAGAAGACACAGGGAGGAATGTAAGAGTTAAAGTGAATAGAGGTAAATACTGTTAACTAGAGGTTCACGTATTCCAGAACTCTTAATTGTGCTCATGAGGAACCTGTACATAGACCAAGAGGCAGTTAGTTGTTTGAAAAGAATAAGGGAACACTAAACAGTTTTAAATTAGCAAAATTGCACACCAGGGCATGCTGAGCACATAAATCCAAGAAGCTGGATCATATGAAGAAAAATGTGGCATCAGGATTGGAAGAAGACTTACTAACAACCTGTGATATGCACATGATACAACATTGCTTGCTGAAAGCAAAGAGGACTTAAATACTTAACTGATGAAGATCAAAGACCACAGCCTTTAGTATGGGTTGCACCTCAATGTAAAGAAGACAAAAGTCCTCACCAGTGGACCAATAAACAACATCCATATAAATGAAGAAAAGATTGAAATTGTCAAAGACTTCATTTTGCTTGGATCCACCATCAACACTCATGGAAGCAGCGGTCAAGAAATCAACGTATTGTATTAGGCAAATCTGCTGCACATGACCTTTTTAAAGTGTTGAAGAGCAGAGATGTCAGCTTGAGGACTAAGGTGCGCCTGACCCAAGCCATGGTATTTTCAGTAACCTCATATGCATGTGAAAGCTGGACAGTGAATAAGGAAGACCTAGA